CCTCCTCCTCCTCCTCCTCCTCTTCTTCTTCTTCTTCCTTCTTCTTCTCCTCCTCCTCCTTCTTCTTATTATTATTTTAATAATAATAACTTCAGGCTGGTCTCAAACTTACTACCTAAGTCCAGCACTGTCTTGAACCCCTGACATTCCTGCTTCTGCCTCCCCCGTGCTGGGATTACATGGTACTCCCCCATGGTACTGCCTGCCATTCCTGGCTGATAATTAAGTTTTGATGGTCTTCGTGAAAGTTTCCAGTCACTCTCGCTCAGTTCTGGTTCCTTTGTTTAGTTCAGCTCCCGCTGGGTTGGTGAGAGGAGAAAGCATGCTCTAGGCAAGGCTTCCTTACCGGCAGCACCTTGACATACAGAGTCTGATTTGCCTGGCGGAGATTTACAGCGTTCCTCACCTCTACCTTCTAAATGCCAGCAGCGGCCCCCATGGGTGGCAGCTGAAACCTACTCTAGCCCAGTGTCCTGGGAGCCAAGGTGGGGACAGAGTGAAGGCCTCCAGAAATACAGTCGGAGGCCACAGACGTGGAGTGGAGAGGATGACCCTCGGAACCAGAGGACTTGCTTCTCTCGATTTTCTTTTTAGACATTTTAGACATTTTAGACATTTTAGACATTTTAGACATTTGTTGTCTAAGAGGGCAACTTGAGGGAGTCAGGTTTTCCTTCCACCGTCGGGCTCTAGGGATTGAACTCAGGTCCCCGGGGTTGGCAGCAAGCACCTTACCCACTGAGCCATCTCGCTGGCTCTTGATTTTGTTTTTGTTTGTTTTTTGTTTTCCGAGACAGAGTTTCTCTGTTGTAGCCTCTGGCTGTCCTCATTCTGTAGACCAGGCTGACCTCAAACTTACAGAGATCTGCCTGCCTCTGCCCCCCAAGTGCTGGGATTAAAGGGATTTTTGGTTTTCCATGTAATCAACATGGTGCTCTGCTCTAGCCATTTTGGGGAGAAAGCCTCTCTAACCGTACTTAAATTATAAAGTATTTTAACACTCTGCTTTACGTTTGCTTCAGGAGCCATTTTTAAAGTTGCTGCTCCTGGGCTGGACCCTTCTGTAGCTGGAGAATTCTCTCCGGGTCCCGCCAAGCCCTGGCAGTCTCACAGCCCACTTATAAAATAAACACACAGACGCTTATATTATTTAAACTGTTTGGCCTAATGGCTCAGGCTTCTAGCTATCTAG